TTTTTTTTTTTTTTTTTTTTTTTTTTTTTTTTTTTTTTTTTTTTTTTTTAATGTTTAATGATGTCGATAAGTAGGAAAGTGATAACTTTCATTATAAAACTTAATTATTACATGATTTGCTTTAATCAAAAGCATAAATTCTGTTATAAAATAGAAAATAGTTCATGCATGCTTTTCTTTGCTTTATTCATATATATGATCTTATAAAACTTAAATAATTCCCTTTTTATACGGATTAAAATTTAGATCTAACATTCTTTTAAAGTAAACATCTTGAACTGCAAGCCAAGGATTAGTATTAATTTGATCTACAGAATATGCCATTTTTACTAAGTTTGAAAGTTATAATGAATATGTTATAATGAAGTTAGACACATTGACACAACCCACACAGCAAGAATGTCCCAAATATATCATAAGGATATCTTGAAGATATCACATATCCCAAATATATCTTTATGATATCCCTATGATATATTTTGGATATCTCTGCTATATGGGAAAGTTTGAAAGTTTTATAATGAAAGTTATCACTTTTCTACTACCTATGTCCTACCGACATCATTAAACATTAAAATAAAAAAAAAAAAAGAAAACGAGTGACAATTTTCACTTTCAGAAATCAATTCCACGTGTTAAAAACACAACTTTACAAAGTTTGAAAAAAATGCAAGGTGAGAGCGTTATACTGCATATTTACCAACAATTCTTCATAAAAATATGCGAAAATTGTTAAAAATTTACAACATAGTATTATTATTAAAAGGAAAAAAGCGTGATAAAAAATACAGAATTGAGTGTCCGCGGCGGAAGACGATTCTCAAATACGAACTTCACATTCGAGTCATATTTTTGCGACATTTCGATCTGAAAACTTAATTTTATGAACTTACCTGTCATTTCTTTCATGAATGTAGAAGACGTATTGAATGAGCAGTAGGCTTTCCTTATATCTGCTTTTCCTTTGCCTTTTTTCAGGTCCCTTTAATTGCATTCCTTCTTTCACAGTTGAAAGGAAATTTTAAAAACGTTCTTTGAAATTTCTAAGAACGAACGTCAACCAGTATAACTTGTTTTTTTATAAGGTTTTTCGAGAAACAACTCGTCGGTTATTATTATTAAAAAGAAAAATGTAAAATGTGAAATCGGTGCGCGCTTCGACCGACCTCGAGTCCGCGCATAAGCTTTTAACTGGCCGCGTGTCTCGGAATGCACACTATATTATCATTAAACAGCTTTATTGTCTAGAATCATGCCCCTGCTTCCCTTTCATAACCGCAGAACCGTGACTCATGCTCATTAGTCGTCTAACGGGTGTCCCCATGGTTCGCAGAAAGTGACACGAGCGAGCGGCCTGTGATAACTGTAGTTTTAATTATACCGGAGAAGGTAAAGTTTGCTTCAAACTGTGTGATTCTATTAGAGAAACTCACTTTTTTTGCTTGCCCGAATCGAAATTTTGATCTTACTTTCAGCCTCACTATTCCATTCAACATCTATTTAGATATTCTGAAGTCTATAATACAAACTATTTTAAAAAAAGGAAAATTTTGGATATCATCAGAGTCAAAGTAGAAATAAATTTTATCATTAAAATTAAAGATATTTTGCTAACTTAGTTGCTACTACCCAGTAAACATGCGTGTCTAAAAGATGTCGAAAAGATATCTAAAAGACGTCTTATGCAACAAAATGTTGCATAAGATATCTTTTAGATACCTTTTCGACATCTTTTAGACATGCATGTTTACTGGGTACTATGCGTTATAGAATTCAAAGTCCAATATAGAGTCATAATTTCGACTCGGGTAGATTCACTGTTATGTTTTGATTCTAATACTAATTAAGCTTGTTTCAGCTTCATCTTCCAAAAAATTGTTCAGGTTCTTCTTAAAAATCAACAGTTCCGCGTCCTAAGGGGAGAATATTGTTTGGAGGGTTAAAAAAATCGATTTTTCTTTTATTGCATTTTCTGAAAATATTTACTTTTAAAAATCAATTCCCAAATCCACGTCAAAAAATTTGGAGAAGTACAGAAGTTACAGCCTATTATTCGAAGCGGCGCACAAATAAAAATCGGAGCATTCACCATGCTTTTTTAAATTTCGACATATTACTTTGCAATTGCTTTGTTCTTTTTAGTTGCATTGCTGAAGTAGTGCAATAAGTTAAAGAGAAAGAAAGTATATTTATTTCACTAGTTTAGCAATGCAGCTAAAAAGAACAGACCAACAATCATGATGTCAGAGACCAATATATCGTGCACATAGACGTAACAGCTGCAAGTGAGTGCAGCTGGGCTACACTTTCTGCAGTATCTACAACTGTCCGTAATCCACCTCGCAGACATACGCTGCGTTCCGAAATTCATTGCCAGTACTGAAATTCTATATTCATGTCACGTATTCTATAGAATTTCAGCACTGGCAGTGAATTTCGTAACGCAGCCAATATTTGCTCACCAAATATTTTTTGACGTCTTCCTTATATAAGAGGTGAAGGCGACAGAGCCGAATTTTGCACTTAGGTTTTATAAAATTTGTAATAAATTAATATATGAGTTTATGCTACACCGCGTGCCGAACATTTATTCAAACAATTTATTCGATTCTTTTCAAAACATTCCATTTTTTTCAAAAAACGCTCTGTAACACTACGGAGATGTTTTTTTATTATAAATGTTACAAATACAAGATGATTTTCCCCATATTTTAGTCAGAAAATGGGTTTGTCTATCTCGCAGCTTTCTGCAAGAGATCTCCATGGCTGCGTTCCAAAACTCTACTGGACGGATAGAGTAGCATTTAATTGACCAATAAGAACAAAGGTAACTAAGATTTCTTTATCATGATTGGTCAATTAAATGTACTCTACTCACCGAGTAGAATTTTGGAACGCAGCCCATTATGGCCGTTTCCCAACAAAGAACATTGTATTACACATTTGATTATACATTATTGGAGTTACTTTAATCAGAGTTGACCACGAAGAAGTAACTTTTGATTGGTCCACCATGTTTCGTTAAATGCTATACAGTATCCAATCATAGTTCTTTCCACTGAAATATATACTACGGAATATATATATATATATATGCGTTCCAAGTTGCGCATTTCCTACGCGCTATATACGTAACATAAACTATAAATAAATGCGCGCATATGTGTAACACGGAACGCGGCCTATCTGAAATGCGCGCTACATATTGGGGTGCGTTCAGATTCCTCATACGGGTGCACTCTATTACTCGAAACACTATAGTATATGTTACATATACTATAGCACTTCTAGTAATAGAATACACCCAAGTGGGAAATCTGAACGCAGCCTTATAGGTCTAAGGGCTATCGCACACAAATTGACATAACTGCATATGCATAGCATAAGACCGTATGGACCAATGAGCATCGAATATTAAGCATCGAACACAAATATAGCGACTTAATACTCGATGCTCATTGGTATATACGGTCTTATGCTATGCATATGCAGTTATGTCAATTTGTGTGCGATAGCCCTTAGAGTGACAGAAATACGAAAGTAAAATAAAATGAGAGAGAGAGCACTCGGGTGAAGTTCTCGAACCTAGGTTAGATTAGTTTTCGAACGTATGAACTGCATCATCTCCGAGGTAGTGCAGTCTATGCGATCTCATGCGTTCAAGAACTAACCTAACCTAGGTTCGACAACCTCACCCGAGAGCTCTCCCTCTCTTTTTATCTCACTCTCGTATCTCTGTCACTCTAACGCTGCGTTTCATGCGCATCATGCGTAGAAACGGAACGCACCCTAAAATCCTCGACCTATGTATACCATACTAGTATATTACACACCACACACACACACACACACACACACACACATATATATATGCCATTTTTGATCACCAAATATGGCCGCGACGAAGATTTCCTCTCACCGCGCTGACTTCACACGCCGCGCCCATAAAAATACTTTATGCTCCAGATATTTCTACGTCCATGGTTAGAACGATAGGAGTCAACTTCAACTTCAATATTTAGTTCCAGACCTCTCTAAGTTATGCCCTAACGCCATTATTCCGATTTATGATATATTTCGAGAGTAAAGTCTTGGAAAATTCCAAGGCACGTTCCAAAAAATCACAAGGTCCGAACTTGTTCGAACACGTCTTGTTGTGACGGCGGTTATGGCTCCTGCACACAGGACGCGGTAATGCTTGCCGCGCGGCGGAAGTCCGCGCAACAGCCAATCAATATGTTGTTTTTCCGTAAGAGCTAGAAAGTTATTATGGAAAACAGCATATTGATTGGCTGTCACGCGAACTTCCGCCGCGCGGCAAGCATTACTGTGTCCTGTGTGCAGGAGCTATTAAGCCGAGACTCTAAAAGCTCGTCTACAATAGCTGTAAAAATATGGCTGTAAGGCTGTAACGTGAGCTGTCAGTGAATGAAAATAATTCATTTCGCGTTTTACAGTCTTACAGCCATATTCTTACAAAAATTGTAGACGAGCCTTATATTTCATATATGAAATGTTGTATTTTATCGAAACTATTATAAACGTAATTCGTTTTACCAGAAAAAGTCATACTTGGTATATTTCTTGTTCTTTTATATGCTAAATTAGCAAATATTAAGTTTTAGAAATTCGCAAGTTTTATTTCTATGGTTTTTATTGACGAATTACGTAGACCAAACATCGATAATTATCTTTTTGTTCAACATTAAGTTCTTCTAAATGCATTTAGCTTTTGTACAAATATTTTTTGAGTATTTTAATCTTTATCACTTTTTTACTGTGTAACTTGAAAAATTTTATGAGAATGTGTTTTAAAGTGACATACCTAGTATGTGATAGCTACGATAGTCTGTGACTAACATAACCTGATTCGGGAGTATCCCGATTGACCACGATACGATTGGACACAACCAACCGATGAAAAGAATTATCTAGTGAATTACTAGGTCGAACCAATCATTACAATCTGTGTCCAATCGTATCGTGGTCAATCGGGTCCCATCCACTTGATTCTAACCTCATATTGTGAAGTGATATGTGTTGTATATGAATTTATTCCGCTGCAATAATGTAAATGTAAATCATTTTCAATAATTATTTGTAATTATATACATCAGTGAACACTAACTAACATAAATATTGCTTTTAAATCAAATGAATATTATTCAACCATTAAACGTATTAACTAACTATTTATTATCAAATATTATCATATATGCAACATGTTATATAATTTCCAGTAAGTATGTCGCTTTTGGCACCTATTTTCTTTGAACTCTATTTTCGTGCGTTTTACAAAAACATTTTTTGTTTTAAGTCTAAAAACAATTTCAGTAAAAATGTAATATTATCTGATAGAAGGTACTTCCAACTACATGTATATATATTTACATTTATATTTTGAGCTTTACATTAAGACATAACTTTCAAAAACAAAGTAGTATGTCGCTTTTAGTCTATATATTTTTTAAACGGATGTATGTTCCCGCTACATTTTTATTCGTTCCGCCATTAGGAGGGAACGCAGATTTAAACCAATGAAAAGAAGTCTACAAATGGCCAGACTCTGTATTTTAAGGACACTACCGTGTTCCAGTAATGCGATTCTGTAACTTAAGTTACAAAATCGCACTACTAAGGAACTATTCTGTACACGCTTATCGACAACTGTCGGATCGGTAAGCATCGTTGCGCAGCTTTTCTATGGTATAAACCCAATTACTCCAATAACAAGTTAGAGAATTCCAGCACTGGTACGGTAACGTTAAAGCATGTTCTAATATTCATTGCCAGTACTGCGAATATACAGTTTGTGTTATCCCAGCAAACACAGAACATAACTGTGATATAACATTGGAGTAACATATAATATAACTGCTGTTATACATTATTAATATTGAGGTTACTTAATTTCCTTTATAACTAGGATATGACTATGTTATAAAACTGTTATGTTATTATGTTAATTACTGGTTAAGTTACACCAACAATATTATAACAACATAACTTTAATATAACATGTTATATAAAAAATCTAATGTTTGCATTACCTTTTAGTTATGCAATATTTTTATACACAAATGTAAAATTATATTTTAGGTGTTTCTCGTATATAAAATGTGATATTTTAATATATGCAAGGATCGTTATCACGATATTATAAAACTAGAATTCTTATAAAAAGTCTAATCATAACTTTACTCTATCAAAATATTGTGAGAGAGAAAAAAGGAATATTCTCTCTCTTTTACGAGTACGTTAAAGTAAATTAAAATTTGACTACTGATACAACATTGTATCAATATTAATCGCATATATAACATAACATAATAGTAACATATCAATAACTTTCATGCAATATTATTTGTTATAATCATTTCTATTGCAGTTATATAACATTGATATAACTGTCCCACACAGCAGGAATGTCCTAAATATATTGTAAGAATATTTTGAAGATATCGCATATCCCAAATATATCTTTAGGATATCCCTGTGATATATTTTGGCCATCTCTGCTGTGTGGGGTGTTTGCTGAGATGTATTCTATAGATTTGAAGTATTGATACTGAATATTGGCGTACTTTAGCGTTATCGTATCTGAGACACGATATTACAAAAACTCCTTATCCAGATAGCACAAAGAATTTAAAAAGAATTCAGTATGTCCCAATTCAGAGTTCATTTTCAGATACAAAAAGAATTCTTCAAAGTTCAGTTCAGTGAAAAGAATTTTTTTTGTATCTAAAAATGAACTCAGAATTGGTGATATATGACTGAATTCTTTTTGAACTCTCTGTGTTATCTGGGTAATATGTATAATTAAATAAAGATAATCCTATTTTTATTGAAGCAATTATTTACCGAGTGACATAACAGGATATTGTTCGTGACATTTCATTTCCATCATAATAATTTCATCTTATCATAATAAAATAAACTACCCAGTGAACACAACGTTATAACGTTATTACATAATTTAATATTTAATTTAATATTTATTACATAATTTTATTACATGTAACGTATAAGTTAGTTGTAATTTCCTACTCAACATAACACGTATGTTATATAACAGTTACATTGTTGAGTAGGAAATTATAACTAACATTTACCCATTGCCCGGGTATGGTTATATTCTTTTTTGAGAAAAATTTTATTCCTACTCATATATCAGAAATATTCAAAATATATCATGGGGATATTCTAGAGATATTGAGATATCTTTAGGACATTCCAATAATATATTTTGAATATTCTGCTATGTGGGTATAAAATAAAAATTTTTTTTTACTTAAAATAAAATTTTACTCGTATAAAGTAAAATTTCCCATATAGCACAAATGTTCACTAAATATATCCTAAAAATGTTCTAAGAATATTCGAATATTCCTAGAACTTTCTTAGGATATCTATTGAACATTTGTGCTGTATGCCCTGACAAAAATAAAAAGTTTCATAAACGTTTGTTTAGCGTTTACATGAGCGTTTGCGGGAGTTTGTTGAGAATTTAGAAATTGTCAGTAGAGCAGAAATTGTAATGTAACTAATGTTTGAAAGGCGTTTGCATATTGGAAGAGCGTTTGCTGAACGGAGAGAAAACGCTTGTCTTACGGCGTTAGGAAAAGTGTTTTTTAAATGTTTTAAAAGAGTCTGACGTTTTAAAACTCTCTACACGAAAGTATATCGGCATTTACTGAGCATACTTTGAAAGCGTTCTGAAAGCGTTTAAAATCCAACGGCGTTGAATAAGCGTTTATACAAAGTTTGAAAGCGTATAAATTCTCAGGAAATTCTCATCGAACGGTTTATAAAGATTTTTATTTTCGCCAGAATGGATTTTACTCTTATAGAGTAAAATTTTATTACATATGCTATAGTGTATCGAGTAAAATTTCCTGAAAAAGGATGTTTTGAAATGCAACCTAAATTCTTCCTAATGCCAGCGACAATGTTTACAAGCAGTTCTAATTTAAATTTGAAAACAACACTTCGTTCTTCATGTGATTTACGTGGATTTACTGACAATGTTTCTTCATGTGATTTACGTGGATTACATGATGCAAATCCATCTATGAATTATTCATGTGGATATAATGTTTTTCTTCATTATTCAATCAAAGTATTTTATCCTCGAAATGTCAACGTAGATTCTACTATTTTTTCCCCCTAAATGAAGTTTTCAATATATGAATGTTTTAATTCAATGCATGAACGTTTTAATCTCTATATATGTGTAACAACTGAACTAAATTTTTATTCAATTTCAAACAACACAGATCTCCACAAGACATCCTAAAAACATTCTGAAAACGTCTCTACATTTTAAGAACATTCTCAGAATATCCTTTAGAGATCTTGTACTGTCTGGGATATTATTCTAGGAAAAAAGGGAACATAATTGTAAAGATGATTATAAAGAAAAAAAACGTTACATTTGCGTGCATAAAGATAACTCATGGATGAATCTACATTCGTGTAATCCATGTAAATCACTTTAATCCATGTAACTTCGATATGGACACAATTACCTGTTTTTATCAAGACTCCAAGTAGAACAAAAAGTCAAACAAATCAAAATAGCGTTAAAGTAACGAGAGGATGACTAAAAATATCACATTTTTAGTCATTCCTACGTTATTTTAACGTCGTTGTGATTTTTTGTTCTGCCTAGGGTACAGCGTATCGCAACATAAAATAAAAAGTGTTATAAAACAAGGATAATATTAATATAAGAATAATATTAATATAAGAATAATATTTATTTGTATAAAGAATAAGGGACCCCAATTAGTTTTTATCTACTCATCTACCGAAAGTCCCATCGTAGTATCGCGCATATTATCGCGACATATTTATACAAGGTCACATGATTCACCGTATAACCGCTCCACTTATTTTTATCGCTAAACATTCAAACGGATCGCACTGCTCGCCGCAGCGCAGTGTGCTTCAAAAGAATCAATAATTATCGCGCCTTCCGGAACGCGCACTGCACGGATCGGCGGGCGCGTGTCCGCGTATAGACGGGAAGAAAACGTCTCTCGCTCTTTCCCTCTTTGTCTCTCGGCGGAGCCGACAGAACGCGAAGCTGCCTCGTCGCTTGAGCAGGTCCAACGCTGCTCTCTCTCTCTCTCTCTCTCTCTCTCTCTCTCTCTCTCTCTCTCTCTCTCTCTCTTACTCGCCACTCATTCATTCTCATCTCTCTCTCTCTCTCGCTCGCTCGCTCCGCTCTTTACCTCTCGAAAACGACCCGCTAATCGGGGACGTTAGTGTTCGATAAGAACTCGATCGCGACTAACGTTGGTTCTGCGCTCTCATCACACGCTCTCGTGCGAGAGAGAGAAGGAGCTGCGCACCAGTGCGTCCGCGACTGCGACAACGATAAAACCGCATCGACGCGGAGGACAGCCTTTCCGCGAGAAACAGGAATGCGGATAGAGATCCACGACTTGACGGGGAACGCTGTCAAGCGCGTTCCTCACGTTACTCGCCAATAATCGCGTCTGTCTGCGAGTCTTTCCGCATGTCTATTTGTCTCCCTTTTTCTCGCTCTCGCTCTTTCTCTCTCTCTCACGCGTGTTCTCGCTCGGTCGTTCAGTTTTTCGTTCAAATCGAGGCAGAAACGAGTGATGGACGTGTCAGTGCGATAGGCGCACGCCTTGTTTTTCGTGACGCCACACAAACAACGACGACGACGGCGTCATGACGCGTCTACGAGGACGAGCCTCTCTGATGGTCATCGTGACGATCAGCTTTGTCCTACTGATTGTCATCTACCACATACTCAGTAACGAGATCGACGAGATCTCAGGCAAGATCGGCGGCCGGCCAAGAGCAGAGGACGCGTACGCTCCGGGTGAGCTGACGGACAGTCCTCAGAGCGCTGCCAGGAGGCAGCAGCTGGACGGGCAGTTCGCGGGGAGTCTGAGGAACGGTAGGAACAGGCTGTTTAACGACTTTACTTATGACAAATCGTTTGCAGACGGCACTCCGCTGTTCAAGGGCCACAAGATCGTCCACTTAGACCTGAAGGGCGCCCCGCCGAAGTTAGCTTACTACAGCTACCTGTTTCCTCTGCTGAAAAAGCTGGGGGCCACTGGTGTGCTCATGGAGTATGAGGACATGTTCCCTTTTACCGATAGCATTGAGGATGTCCACGCTGGCAATGCTTACTCCAAAAAGGATATCGTGCAGATTCAGAGTTTGGCCAAGAAGAACGAGCTCATCATCATACCACTTATACAGACCTTTGGTCACATGGAGTTTGTCCTCAAGCTGGATAAGTACAAGGACTTTAGAGAAGTGCCACACTATCCACAGGTCTTGTGCCCTACGTATAACAGAACTCTTCCATTAATATATGAAATGATCAATCAAGTGGTATCTACTCATCCAATGTCCAAGTACCTGCACATAGGTGCTGATGAGGTCTACCAGATAGGAGAGTGCTCCAGGTGCTTGGATGTCATGGCTAAAAAGCAATGGGGCAAACGACAGCTATTTCTGGATCATGTGTCCACTGTGGTGAGGTATATCAAGGAAAAGTATCCTGAGCTGACTGTGCTCATGTGGGACGACGAGTTCCGCGAGATCTCGCCGCAGGAGATCATCGACAAGGGCCTGCATTTGATGGTGGAGCCGGTCGTGTGGAAGTACACCACCGACCCCGGCAGCACGTTGACCGACCAGCTGTGGGAGAGCTACGCCGCGGTGTGGAAGCAGGTGTGGGTCGCCACGGCGTTCAAGGGTGCCACCTTCCCGGATAGATATTACACGGACATCTCGTATCACATGGAGAACCATCAGCGTTGGTTGGAGATCATTCAGAAGTATTCCAGCCAGATTGCATTCAAGGGCGTCATGCTGACCGGCTGGCAACGCTACGACCACTTCAGCGTGCTCTGCGAGCTGCTACCGATCAGCCTGCCGTCTCTCGCGATCAATTTAGCTATGCTGCAGGCGTCCGCGCCGGGCAACTTTCCCGTGGAGCTGCCCCATCAGATATCCGAGGCGCTGCAGTGCGACGGAATCGTCTCGCTAAGCGTGCCGGAACCGCAGTACGGCTGGACCAAGTGCAGCTTCCACGGGGTGTCGATATACAACGCCATTCTGCGTCTGTACTCGCTGACGCAGGAGATCCTCAAGATGGAGCAGGACAACACGTACAAAGGCTGGCTGAAGCCGTATAACATCAAGTACTCGTTCGCGAGCCCCAGCTACGTGGAGCGCGCAGTCACCGACTTGGATCGGCACAAGATGGAGATCATGTACATCGAGAAGGACATGCGCACGGCCATGGAGGACATCTACGACAATTACACGATCCAGGAATGGCTTGAGACCTACACCGCGCCGCTGAACGAAAAGCTCAGTCAGCTGTGGGAAGCTAAGGAGAAGCTTCTGGAGAAAAACACATGGCCGAGGAGACCTCTTACCAAGCCTGATTTATAGTAGGAGACGGCTACTTTCGAATAAGTAGGCGAAAGGATTCATCGTGCTTTTTCGTGATACATAACGAGAGAGACTGAGAGAATTTTATTGAAACGACATAAGAGAGAAAGGAGAACACGATTCGTGAAGAGGAGTCTTTAAAAGAACGAACAAACAAATAAAAATATGGCGTGGATAATCAGTGAAATCTAGAAGAGTTTCGAACTCGTAATTTTACATCTTGATAATCGTTGTACAGAACATGTGATAACTTGCAATTTGATAAGGAAGTAATCAAATCATATTGACCGCACCGTCCGTAAATTAGTAAAACTTGTTTGTCCCCATGAGAACGATTGTATTGCACTGGTCTACAGGTAACTTGTCCTATGGAATTCCTCATAAGTTTCTCATGTATTTTTATGCGTAGAATCCAAAAATGAACATGGAATTTCTGTATCACTCGCAATTTTCTTGTCACTTAAGATTTCATATATTGTATACGGAACATTCTATACGTGAATGTAAATTTTTTCACAATTTGATTTATAAATAAATAAATATATATATATATATATATATATATATATATATATATATATATATATATATATATAAAGTATTATCAAAATATTAAATTATATATATATATATATATATAACTTAATATTTTGATAATACTTTATATATATAAAATATTTAAGTATTATCACAATATTAAATATCATCCATATTCTTCCATTTAAGCAACATTTTTCTATAGAAGGTCGTCAAGAATAACGATTTTTCTTCTTTTACGCAATTTTCCCTAATTAGGTACAAGAAATGGTAAAAACTGATACATTTTTTATTTTTAAAAGAGACATATACAAGCCAAACATAGCAGACAATTACTAGTTTCTACGTATTTAATACTAGGTATGCCTGTGTATGCCATGCCTGTATACATAGAGAAAATCAGTTTTCTTGGAACTTAAAAATCACATCACTGAAAAATCCTGAGTAATAGAATAAACCTGTTTGCATAAACTTCTTAATTCAGGCGTAAAAATACTATATAGATCACAATTTTTTTATTCACATGACAAAAAGATTTCTTATTTGTAGACCAGTGTTATCGGTTGTACTATTTGGTAGAACAAATAATAACGTATATTCCTGACTCAGGTCGTTGGTTCTTCGGGGAAAGACGTTTCGGAGAGATGTTTTCGCATTCACACACGAGTGTTTGTATATATCGGTGATGATTCTTCCTTCCCGGCACGAAAAGTCTCAAATAGATAATGTGATCCGCGTGTTTTAGCTATTGTAGCTGTAGGAGAGTAGATAGTGATCTATTGATAAATGCACTAGACGATCTTTATGATTTTGTTGCGACATTAGAACAAATTATTTATATCGGCGATTTGATCGGATACCGCTATTATCCAACAACGATTTTTATCGTCATTATTATTGCGATACGTAACGTATATATATGTGTATTTATGAATTATGCGAAGCTGCTCGCGCAAATCACACACGCACAGATGGCCATTCCCAATTGTCGCATTAGTAATTGTCTTCTAATCCTAAACACGATTGCCAACAAGAGGCGCGATCTGTAGAGCCAGGTTTTATCGGTACGTTCGTCGCAAAGATGTGTGGCGATGAGTTCACGTTAATTTTGCGCATCAACCGTATTTATCTGCGTGCGTATTAACGCAGTATCTGCGATTGTAGTATAAGCGGGGAATCGTGCCATAAAAGCAGATCATTGCGATATTATGCCAATTAGATGAATTTCCGATAGATAGAATAAAAGAATTGTACATACGATAGGAAAGAAATTTGGCGACTTGCATTGACTTACTCGGATCGAAGATTTTACATGAATGATGCGCTCTCCGAGTTTGTTGGAGTGAAATTTCGCGCGAAAAGAGCAAAGACTAAATCCGTTTTGAACGCTCTCGTGTTGAAAGCATCATTTTATCTTCCTTCGGTATCCAATGAGCAATCACTTGAATTCAAATAATTTTTCATTCATAAAGTGAATTCACTACTCTTAATCGTCGATATGAATATTTTTACTCAAAATTGAAGAGTGGATCTGGGTTGCATTTTAAAATATCTTTGAGGAAATTTTACTCGATACTCTAGTATATATAACGCAAACTACAGGTATTGAGTAAAATTTTCCTCAAAAGGAACGTTTTAGAATGCAATCTGCTCCATCGTCAGAGGAATATATTCATTTTAATTGACAACATTCGCTCACAGAAGGAATCAGAATTCACTCCAAGCTTGATAAAATATTCCTTCTTGCGATTTCGAATGGCAGTATTTTCCCGCTATCGCTTTGAACGAAAACGCTGCCACTTTTTGTTTCGAGTAGTACTCTACTCCGAGAAATTTAGAGAGCAGTGAATGAAATTTTATTTCGAAAGTATTTTTACGTGTCTCTAAGTTAGGCATGGGAAGTCACAAATAGTTCCGCGTGATATTTAGATTTTTATATCGAGTTTTCTCGGTTTACTCTTTACGTTTCTCGACTTTTCGATGAATGTACCTTTTTTAACGCAATTTTTAACGATTCTTCCCTTAGTAATTTTAAATTCTCTTCCGTAAATTTGTAATTTATGTATACACGTGTTTTGCATTATTATGCTCTATTATTATTGTATAATTATTATCACATTGTAAAAGTACTTTTATTGTTATATAAACCCTACATTGTAATTATTGCCGCATAGTAGCCAGACGCGATTAATAAATCTGTTTTTAAATCTACGCTAGAGAGAAATTTTTCCAATCGTCTATGTTCATTGGCCCCGCGCTCTACGTAGATATGATTTTTTAGAATTATCTGTCTGTGTTTGTGTATATAAGTCACGGTGAAGGTAATGCGACATACAATCGTATGTTCAGAGCCATTCACATTCAAGGTATAAAGTCACGCATTGGACGTCTATATACGAAATGTTCACAACATTATTTTGCCGAGTCTGTCTGGTACATGGTACACGCAAAAAATTTCAGTTGGTGCAACCAAATAGGAACCAACTGAAAATTAGGTGATCAGAAGCGATATCTCTGTTATGAAAACTAATATTTCTGTTGTCACAACCGAAAATATTCGTCTGAACATTCAACGATATCAGAACTCGGTTGAGGCAACTGAGAACAATTGACTATACAGAAGCCTCATAAAGGAATTTTTCTCGTGCCTACAGCCGAGTTTTCATCTGATCCCTGAGCAACCGAAAATTCGGTTGCACCAACAGAATTGTTTTTTCCGTGTATATAACTAATATTCACATATTATAAAGCGAAATAATAAGATAATTCTTTGTTTATGCACGCGCCGCATGCAATCAACATTAAGCAGACAAATCACTTGTATTACCGAAAGCGATAATTGTTTCCAACCATAGGTCAGTTCTTCGACCTGCGCCGAGATTGAGCGGCTCTTGGTTCAACAGCTATTATATTCTCCTTAGATCCTAATTTCTTCTTTCGAGGAGATTTATGCGAGATGAATTTAAGATGCACGACGATGACCTCACTGCAACGTACACACCGCGGATTTCGAGGATGGAAAACGGGGATTGAAGGTGATCGGATGTTGTTTCCTGTTGGGGATCCTCTTGATAACTTTGTGTATCGAGCTTATGTCTACAGTGTCTCCGATCTCGGCGATAATGATGGGTTTGTGGAAGTCTTGATCCGTTCTCGTCAGCCGAACACCCAAGACTTGCGCCGCCAGACTAGCGATGCACAATGATACCTGGAAAAAGTAATACATGGATCCTTTGTGACTTTAAATGAAAATACTCGTACAATCAGGATTGGGCATTACATACGTATAAATTAGGATACTCTACGTTCACATATAGACAGCATAAACTATATATGAGATGTTATCTATGTAAACAATGAGAGTATTTATCTAGATAGTCAAACCTGCACAGGCAGATTCTGAGCAGAGTTTGCTATAAATTTTTGAAAACTACAAATCTTACACAGAATCTGTTCTATCTGATAATGTTATCAAGCTACCGCCAGAAATCTGACAGAACTTGCTGTCAATAGATTGATGGCAGAAACCAAGTGGATCTTTGACAGCAGATTGGCGCCAGAAGCTGAACAGAACCTGCTGCGCAAAATTTAGCGGTAGGACATGATCGATTTTTGCCGCCAATCTGTTGTCAAATCATATCAGCAGACTCGATCGCCAAAACATGGACTCAATACAGACTCAATACAGACACAGGCTATAGTTTCGTTGTGGGATTCTGATCGAATTCATTGCCAATCTGTCAGCATACTGCAAATATTCTTCTTATTAAATGCGGATATCGTTTAAAGAACATATGACTCTTGCTCAATTAATTAAGAAAAGTTTATATTTTTATTTAACTTTTAGAATCCTGGTATAAATTTATGAATATTGTTTCCTAAACAAGTTAGAGTTTACAGAGTTCTTTGTGGTTGTATCTATAGAGAGTTCCCAGATAGCACAGAGAGTTCAAAAAGAATTCAGTTGTATGTCACTAATTCTGAGTTCATTTTTAGATACAAAAAAATTCTTTTCACTGAACTGAACTTTGAAGAATTCTTTTTGCATCTGAAAATATGTGTGAACTCTTTTTGAACTTTCTGTGCTATCTGAATTGAATCTACTACTCTATCACATAAGGAAATAAAAATTTCATGTAATTTATCTTTTTTAAACATTACATTTGTAATTAATACTCAGAACAAATATGGTATAATTATCTCAATTTAATTATCCTTTTCTGTAAATTTTAATTTAATTTGCAATATTCTACATAATTTACATTGTTTACATAAAAAGTGACTATGTATATATAATACATAGAAAATATATAAACAATAAATGTAACTCGAAATGTACAGCACAACGCTGATACAGAACATATGGCTCAGTTAGAAATTAATTAAGAAACGTTTATATTTTTGTTTAACATTTAGAATATTGATATATAAATTTATGAAAATCGTTGTTTGCTAAACAAGTTATAGAGTCTACAGAGTTTTCTGGTTGCATTCTTACCCAGAGTTAAATTTATCAATCCGTTACACATAATAAAGTGAAAAATTCATGTAATTTTTTATCTTTTTTAAACATTACATTTGTATTAATATCCAGAACAGACACGGTCAGATAACTGTCTCATAATTTAATTACCCTTTATTGTATGTTATACTGTATATAATTTGCAATATTTTACGTAACTTATTTTGTCTATATGAAAAAGAATGTACACATCACGTAGACGATACGTAAACAATGTAGACATAATGTTGAAATCTATGACATATATATACAGGGTGTTCAAAAAGTCCCGGACCGGTGAAATATCTCGAAAACTAAGCATTTTAGAAAAAAATGTTTCAGATAAAAGTTGTGGCGTTTAAAAAGATGTATTTACTGATCACATCAGTTTGACCTT